CATCTCGTCCGTACACGGGTGCTGTTGTTGGACGTGCGAACGTCGACGGAAACATTCTACCGGTCAGAAACTCTTTGCGTTCAACTTCCAGCGGCTATACATATCGCTGCGCATGCGACGTTCTCTTGTTCTCGCAAAAGTTGGTCCGACCGACTTCTTTCGGTTCAAACGGTTATCATCAGGCCACTCGTGCAGGTTGTATACTGACCGTAGCGTAATCGCCTTTAGACGTCGATGCCGAATCGCCCGTCCTCCGTGGCCAAGCAATGCGTTCATTTCAAACTCACGGGAACCGCTCACCGAAACACGCGTTTAATTCCCCCCTCCCTAATCTTCAGCGATTGTCTTAATATTTGAACGGTCTTAAACTCTTAAAAAAAAAAAAAAAAAATCCATTAGATTAGTCCAACAAGCACGTGGGTCTAGCCGTGTTGTTTCCACTGGCCGCGACCTGTCCGACTGCCAGAGCGCCGAGACACGACGAGTCCGCCGGTGATCATCATAATCAATAATCGTGTAGCGATTACGCGCTGCAACCGTAAACGATGGTATTGTAATGATTGCGCGTGCCCCGTACGAGCGGAGGGTTGAAGGGACACGGCAATAACGGTTCCGAGCGGGTTGACGCAATGCGACGCGTTATTTTGTAAGTGACCATACGATTATTTTGTATACATATACATATTATTTGTACAAGTTTCTTGTTTCGATGACAATCGATCATTTGATCATGACTAAAATGTTCATTACGCAATTCATGTAATTGTACTAGTGTTTTTCCTCGATGACCGAGAAACACAATAATATTTAAATCAGATCCGTTCAGATATGCCCACGGAGCCCCAAGAGTCCCCTGGATTTCTCTCGCTGAGCCCATTCGGAGAACCACTGGCTAAAATTATAAATTGCATTTACACGTTTTTTTATACAAAGTATCGAAAAACATGCTATGCTCCCGGTTTATGCACATTAAATAAATCTATTACGATAACTATTCGATAATGCAATTTATTATGAATTCGATTATTATAAGCTTATACATAGGTATATTATTATTATATTACATTTTATATCCGTAGAAAACGTTATCCTAATGTTAAATATTGGGTCTATTCATGGTAGACGTAATGCTAAACAGGGACCAGGGTCAAATAGTACCCTCTGTAGACTCTACAAGTTTCTCGTTGGAAACAAATCATTAAAAATTATATGAGGGCCCGAAATATACCAAATACACCTTTCTCAAAGAGTCTAATATAGTTTCTACGTGACATTAATATTTTATAATTCATATTTTTTTTTATCCATTGATATTGGTAGCCGCGGGCCACAACAAAATTACCTGCGGGTTTGACATGCCTGATGGCGCATTCACGTTATTATCCTTTACTGCAGACCGTGAATTCAACGTATACGCGATTTATTATTGAGTTGCAATATTTAAATTTATATATTAAACAAAACCGTAAAATCAGATTATTGCAAATAGATATATATATATTATTATTAGTCATAAGTGAATTATATTTTCGAGCCCGATCGCATTATTATTTTTTTACAATACTTTTGACGTCTTGAGATAAAAATAATAAACCTATATTTATATACGAACCAGTTTCAATATTACTCATTCGAAAAAGAAAGACGTGTGGTGGAGTAATTTATTAACTATTTAACCGGCAAGTTATCGTGTTGGGATGAAAAAATATATCTGAATTGCGTTGCTGTTGTATGAATAATCGACGTCGAAGTATCGCATAAGAAGCAGAACGTATAGTAAAACTGTTTCGCGTGAATTATTTAGAATAACAGTGTTAGCATAGTGAATTCGAAAAGAAAAAAAAGCATGTATTAAAATTCAGTGATCGGCACAAATAAGTTTTCAGGCCGCGGAAATTTTAAACATCATTCCGCGCTGAAACGTAAAATCTACAGACGGTAATGTATTATAGGTTCTGAATGTATATGAAGATTTATACAATTATAATATAAGCCCCGTTTAATTTAAAATTATAAATTTATGGTTTTGCGTTGCTTACGTTCTAAATATGTACGGGAATACGACTGAAGTAACGTTAAAATCAACGGATGAATCTATTATATGCTTATTGAAAAAAATTAAAAATATATGAATCATAATATTCCTGACACATATATCGTTTTTTCATAACCTGAAACTATATTTTTGAAAACACACTAGGTAGTCTAATAGCACTATTTTTCAAGATTATTTTTACAAATCTACTGGTCGACATTTTAATTACCAATTAAAGAAATCGTCGATTCGACAACACTGGTAAAATTATGCATTTTTAATAACATTTTGTGTTGTAATATTATTATATGCTCGTTAGAGCACAATATAATATTATTAAGGAAATATTATTAAATGCAAACAAAATAATAACTTTCGTTCTTGCTAGATTATTCCCGGGTAACATGCGAATCATTTTGAAATATTCTAATCCGTTAGAAGTATTTTCTCCCACACAACTCGATGAATTATTTCTCGATTTAATATTTTGGTAAATTTTAGTTGTCTGCGAGCGAGTATTTTAATTTTTAATTTTTTGTTATGTTTTTATACAGTTATCATGGATTTTCATCAATCACAATCCGATTTTACGTTTGATTAACGAGCAAATAAACACTATATCGATTCAAAACAAACTGTAAATTTTTTCCTTTTACAAACATTTTATCGATAACACCATTAATTTGATCATAAATCTTAATTATTATTTTTTATTATTTTTTTCAAGCATATTCACGAATACATATTTAATCGAGCGGTACTCGGTCGATCATTCACAACCGGAGACGATTAATCACCATTCATGATGTTACAAACTTCTGTTGAGCATCTAGGATCCGACAGCCGTTCTGGCATTTGTATACACTTTCTGTTCACAATACTCACAACGAAATAATATATTTCTTGCGTTTTATTGTTGTTTCCATCGATAAATTACAATTGAATACAGGGACTGGTACCTTTAAGTTTTTACGGGTCCACTTTTCAATTATTTTATTAAAAGGTTCAGGTTCGAGTTGTTGAAAAATACAAAATATGGGTTCGGGTTCAGGTTCCGGTATTATAGAGTTCTAAATACAATTTTTAAGAATTTATTCCATAGTATTTTTTGGTACATATTTAAAATGACATATATGTTACCAAAATTATAAAAGGCAATATATATGTAAATAAATGTCTCAAAATGTCACTCTTCAACTAATTTAAATATATATATCGAAATAATTTTTTTTAATAGCTATATAGTAATGTTCATGATAGTATTATAATTAAACCTAAAAATAGTATTTAATAATATGAGAAAATATGCAAAATAAAATTTTACTTCGAACTCATTATATTGTAATTCAAATTTGTATCTATAATAATAAATAATAATAATTTATTTGGCCAAAAACAGTTAATACATGTTGAAGATCAGTATTATGTATAAATTAAGTTTTAAATATACATTATAGGATATGTTGCCCAATTCACCATTGAGAAAACTCTCGTATTCGTGAAATTGAAGTATAAATCGGTTTAGCCTTTAGTCGTCCGTCTGTCAGCACATAATATTAAAATTTAAGATTAAAAATAAAATTTTGAAAACAAATTATATCTCAGAAATTTCCATATGCTTTGAAATGTTAAGAATAAAAACATAATTGATAATGTTTGTTACATCTGATATTTTTAATTTTATAATGAGAGTTCCGGTAAACCATAACTTATAAAGAAAGAAGTATTACCATTAGTAATTACAAAGATAATTTACAAATAACTATTAATAATAATAGCCTATTATTAACAGTATTATAGTAATAATATTTATACTACTACTATTTAAATTATTATTGTAATTTATATTTTTATGATTGATTACATTTATATATCATTTATCTATCTTACAATATAAAAATACAAAAATTAAAATTTACATTTTTAACGGTGAATTATTTACATATTATAGATTTATACATCATTCAATAATAATAAAAAAAAAAAGAGCATTGTAATTAATTATACAATAACATCATGGTCTCCGTGGAGCCCCTTAATTTTGAGGAACACCTGGTCAAGTACACATGCACCGTACTTAATAAAATTAATTTGGTTCGGTTGCTACTGTCCTAATGTATTTTCAAAGGAATCGTTACATCGTTCTACGTAAATGGGTTATCTTAAGTCTGGGCGAATATATAAAATCCTATAATTAAACGTGCGATTATAAATATTCCCTTATATCTAGAAATAATAACATAAACATTTTGAGTTTACGTTAATGTAATCATTTTGTGATTCGAACAGAAAACACTGTTTATTAAAAACAATAATATTTTATGCTAGTAATACAATATACAATTGAGATAAATTGATGACGGGTATTAACCCTAAATAAAACGGGTCGGTTATACAACTTAATAACAATACTCGTGAACTGGATTTCGCATAGAATGAGACAAAACATTAAATAGTATTTAGTAAAACATGTAACGTTTATCGCTTGAAAAACGAACAATATTATAATCACAACATAACCTTTCCACTTTGTTCCGTGTAAAAAATTGCTGAATTAGTCAATAATAGTATTTAATATAGTCAAATAATGGTATTTAGCCTGAACTCAACTAAATATCATTATTTAAACAATACTTTATCCTTTTTACAAATAGTCAATACTCTATTTAAAAGATTCCCTTTAATATAGAAAAATAAATAAATAAATAAAATGGTAATAAGTAATAACTAACAATTTATAAATGTACTAAATTACAAAAAGTATCTATATTTAATTCAGAATTATAAACAAATAAGTAAAAGCATAAATATTATATAATAAAGCATAATTAATAATTATTAAATAAAAAAATAAAAAAAATGTATAAAATCTTTCCATTGAAAAAACATGATTTTTAAATGCAAAATTAATTTAAAAAAATTATAAATACTTATATGGGGGTATATATAAAGAATAAAAATGGTTTATTAAATTTAAATTTATTTTCTTCCCAACGTGAATTAATATTATATAACTATTAATAATTATTTGACATCAAATTTTCCTTATTCCTGCAAAAAATACAAATTATTTTAATGAATATTTAATATTCTATTGTAATTAGGAAAACTAAGCTTATTTCAAATTTTGTTTTGTTATGATTGAGTTATCAAAATTATAACAAAAATTTAAATTAATAAGGAGACAAAAAAAATAATATGAGTAAAATAGTTAATTAGCTTTATTTATTTACTGTGTAGCTGTTTCCCATTTTCGTACGGATTTTGATTTAAATTTCACTAACTAAATACAAAAAAAAGTATTATATTACGTATATATAATTTAAACAAATATCTATATATTATAATATAGGCAAGCTATTATAAAAAGATTAACTTACTGAACCAATGTTGCTTAAGTCTGTTAATATTCCAATATGTTTGGTCCTAGGTTTCTTTTCTGTTATCTCAACTTCTCTGTAATAAAAAAAAAAAATATGAATAAATAATGATTGAAATTTTTTTTTTTTTATACTTTAGTTTAAATTCTAATTCTTCTATTTGTTTTGGAGTTTTTCTATAAAATAAAATAGTTAAATATTTAGATAAAAATAATATCTATATGATATGGAAATATTATTAATCAATATAATTAAATGTTACAATCCCAGGATTTCATATCAAACTTCATTTTTATAAGTTCATAGCCCGCTTCGGACCTGTATAATATCGGTCAAAGTGTTTGTAAGATAGCATAAGACTATAATTTATAATATTTCATAGTGCACAATGCCTAAATATTAATTATATTAGTCAAAGCAAAATTAAGTAAACCATATAATATAAATAACAACTTTTCTGTATTTTACATTAAATAATGTGAAAAATATTTGATTAATAATACTAAAACCTTTTCATATAATTAACAAAAATATGAATTAATATAACTATTTTACAATTTTGTAATGAACAACAATTAAGAAATCAAAAAATATATAATTGAAAAAATAAGTAAAACAATTCGTTCAATGCACAAAAAAACTAAGTCAATATTAGTTATTATTACTATGCTCAATAAATTTGGCATTTTATATAGTATTTAGATAGATCTAATAAATGTATGGGAAGTATTTAAAATTAAATTAAATGCCCATTTCCTTCAACTAATTTGCAATATTTATAATGCTTAAATTATCTATATTACTGATATCCTAAACAATAGGAATATACCGTAACTAGATATTGTTCTAGTGTTAACTTATACCTAGAATAAAACACGATTTATTAGTTAAATTATTACATAATCATAACCTAACCTGATAATTTTGAATTAATTTCATTGGAGATTTTATATTCATCAAGTAAAATTAGTATGGTAAAAGAAATTCACTATTACTAAAAATATTAACTATACCATAATCAGATTTTGTTTTTTCAAACTCGAGTATTGTTGACAAATTTGAGAATTTGTCTCTTTATATTTGTTTTTCTTAATTTGTAACTTTTCATTAGTATTCTTCAAGCTGTGAATTATTTTTAATTTTTCATCCATATAATTGAATATTTGTTTTTCAGCCTAAAAAAATTCAAAATGTTCAAACAGATCAATTTTGATTGAGAACATCAAAGCTAAAAAAGGTATTTTACCTACTGAAATAAATTATTAATTTATACGATTAACATAAAAAAATATCCAATATATATATGAATAATATTAAGAATGTTTAGAAATATATAACCAAATGAAGTTTAGATTTGTAAGTAAAATAAATACTAAATAATATAAATATATCATCTTACAGCCTCTGCTATTATTTCTCTTGATGTTGTTCCACGTCTGTAATAATATTGTCTTTGCCTTCTAATGAATCAGTAACCATTATATTTCTAAATCTTATAAACATTTTTTTTTAATAAAATATTAAATTTTTACCTTATTAAATTAAAATGTCGAAAAAACATTTATATCAAAAATGAAATATTACAAATTCAAACAATTCTATAATGTCTTGTAAGGGCAAATTTTTAAATTTGTTCCATTTATTTTAAGACAAATGCACTTTTGTTATTGGTAATTCATGGAGATTTTTTTTTATAAATATAATATTTTTTAAAGTAAAATAAACCTTCTTTTATGATAATACGCCTGATAAAAACAATGAAATTATTCAATGTTTATTTTACATGTATAATAGTGAAATTCAAAAAATGATTAATATTTAAGAATTAAACTACATAATATGGTTAAATAACTTCCAGTTTCGATACAACAATATAATATATAAAAGCTAAGTAAAAATGGTACACTTGAAATATAACTTACGAAAAATCTAATTAGTTTCAATTTACTGATATTTTGCTAATTCCTGTTTTCTTTCTTTCCATACCATTTTTTACTTATTAAAAATATATCAAATTAATATTACATATACTTTCAAAAGTATGACCTTACATTTAATCTTTCTTAGCAGGACCATAAACATAAATATTATTTTAAACTGAAGTACTATGAAAATATAAAACATACTTTTTCATACATATCTTGATATATTTCATCAACTCAATTATTTATTACATTTATGACGGCTTGAAATTGTTTATACTCAGTAGTTGCTTCTTTTAGCATGATTTTATAATTCTCAATAAAATGAAGGAAATTATAATAAATTGAATCTAAAAAATATATTTACTTTTACACAAACATTTATATAATATTAATGTATATTTATTATTACTCAGCTTAGATTTCATTTGATCTATGCTCTTGCAATTATTTGCCATTCAAATAACAAAACTTGGTCTGGGTTTGGAAATTGTTTTGGTTTTGTCTTTAGTAACTGAACGTACAATAGCAGATATACATAGCTAACCTAATCAGATATGAATAAAACATGTTTAGTTTTTTCAAATATGTTTGGAGATGTATCAACATTGACTGCCATTGATATATTTGATACACCAATATTTTTACAGCCTGTTAAGGTTAAGGCAGTTTCAAAAATTTGAGTTCATTTAGATTCTCTGTATGGAGCCAAATTATTATTAATATATTTTAATATATTTTTAAAAAAAATTATTTGATGTCATACAGATTATTTTTTTATGATTTTTGTAACATAATACAAATGAAAACCGTTAACGAGCAAATGTATCATAGGTGATACACAGATATCTATAATAAATTATCTTTTTATATTTTGTTTTTATAAAACCGTATTGTAATATTCATTGATATGTTCATACCACATAAGTAATAAAAAATTAATAGTTATTATATTATCATAAATTATATTAATAGTATTGATAATAAAAATTCGTGCATAAAGAGGTTTTTAATAATATTTTATAACTATTTTATTTAAAATGTTGTGAATTTTACTTTATATTCTAATTTATAGATTATTTTTAAAGGATTAAGGTGGCAAAACATATTTTGAGTGACACTCAAATAGGTAATTGATTTGATAAATGTTGATACTAGTGATGATGTCTTGGATTGTTAAGACGTGGATTTTGACTTGAGTATGTATTTTATTTTACTATATGTTTTTTTTAACTTTTAATTTATGAATTATTGTTTTTAGATGATGTTATGAAAAATATATATAAATGACACAACACCAATGGTTTTCCAAGATAAATATCAAGAACTGTAACAATATGTGAATCCACCTAATTTAGAAGTAGAAAACGAAAACTTAGATATACACAGTTTACCTGTTTTTATTGATGATGATTTGATACTTGATATTAATATTGATGAATATCTAATACCTAATGTAAATTATAATGTAATCTAAAACATGATGTGAATAATGATAGTAGTTTTTTTATAAATAATCCCACAACTTAAATCCAGAAGAAAAATAGACAAATAAATAATCAAAAATATTTTAAATACAAATTAACTAAACTAAAATGAAGAAAAACCAATTTTTGTTCTAATTCTCAGTTTTTAATCTTTGAACTTGTTTCACTTCCTACTGAAATATCAATATTGAAAACACCAATTGACTTTTTTTCATATTTTTTTAATGGTGACCAATAAAATCTGAATCAATTAAATATTCAGTTCAGAAAAATATTAACAAACCCATAACTTTTAATATAAATGAGTTAAAATAGTATATTGGAATAACAATAAATACATCTATTGTTCAAATTAGAGACTGGAACCTTTAAGTTTTTACGATTCCGGTTTTCAATTATTTTATTAAAAGATTCGGGTTCCGGTTATTGAAAAATACAAAAGAAGGATCCGAGTTCTAGTTTCTGTTCCGGTATTATGGATCCTAAATACAATTTTTTTAAATTTATTCCGTAATATTTTTAATACATATTTAAAAATGACATATGTGTTACCGGTATTACGACATTATACTAGGCAATATGGCATAAAATATGAAAATAAGTGTCTAGGTTATTTTAAAGCATGTAAATACACCGATTTATATTAAAAACATTCACTTATATACATAGTGAAAACCTAATAATTTTAATCGAAATTTAAACAGGTACAACTTTTACGTACTTCTTTAATTTTATTTTTCCGCAAATGTACATAAATTTATTAAAATACAATCATTAAGCATTTTCTATTAAATTTTTACCCCATTATAGGGAATTAATTTAATCTGTTTATACGTGTAAATAATACACATTTATATAGAATAATAATATAAATAGTTTTTATATTTATTGTTTATTTTTTATATATTTTTATCGATAAAAATATAATACATCATATTAATGGCAATTGTATTATTATTTTCCATTGTTATCTGATCGTAATAAGCACATAATATTTATTTTTTTTTTTTCTTAATAATATCTATCTAATTTTCTTTCAACGTGACGTATACTGCAGAAAATATGTAAACAGGTAGACTTATAATATGATATTTTAATTTAGTGCTAAAGTGAAATCGAGATTGACTTTTAAATTATTTTCACTTAACATGATCAAAAAGTTAATTTATAAATTTTACCAAGTTTTTAAAATTATTATTCTTTTCGCGAGATTTAATTGGGTCAAAAATAAATAAAATCCATTAACCGATCAATTTCAACAATGAATCGAGATACGTCTTCAAAATCGTTGTCACAATATTGTATATCAATTGGTGAGTCAGGAGAAAAATTATCATCTCTTCACGTACAATTTGGTCACGCACGTGACTGTAGTCGCTAGTGTGCCCAACTCGTGTGTACATAATATATAAACTAATGAATATTTTAATAATAATATTTTTAGTGTTAACACTAAAAGTATTGAGTATATAATAGGTTTGTACATTTAAGTCAATATATCTCATGAACAGTAGAAGATAATGGAAACTTGTTTGTATGTAATTCATAGATAATTTTGTTTAATTTAAAACAAATAACATAAATAATTTTGAGTTACTAAACGGTTTACAAAGTATTTAAGAAAATAAAGTAAAGTATAGTTAATACTTATATAGTATATAAGTATATACTATATATACTAATATAGTTATTATAGTAAATATATAAAGTATATACTATATGTATATAGTTAATTTTTTTAAATATTTATGAGTATTGTTTATAAGTATTTAAGAAAATATAAAAAATACTCATAAATATTGAAAAAAATTAACTAATTCAAACTAAAAATGCAAATCGGCACTGGTCAACCTTGTTTAGTTGATACAATATTTTTCGTAGTTCATTTTTATATGTACACACACGTTTTTAGGAAGTGATCCCGAGACAAATTTAAATTTGAAAATTAAAGAACACTCTATTGTATACATTTCACTCATTATGTTTTATCATTTCTCTCTCACTCAGTCAAACACACGCTCATATATGATACAAAACTGCCACTGCACGACAACCCCTCAGACAAACCCTTATAGTATATTTTTTTTAATTTTATGCATTTTCTATCCGTATATTAAATATAACATGTATAATATGACCATATGAATAAATGAATAAATCACATATATGGTAATTACTGAGCAAGACAATAATTATAACATCACAAATTAATACCATGATTGTAACTTTTTTTCTCAATTATTTCTATTCATAGTGTTGTTTTCGATAAAATTTACTTTTTCTTCGCTGTTATTAAGAGTGTACGTATAATATAGCATGCTACAGTTCTAAATGGCAGTTAACAAAAAATAAAAAACTTTTGACCTCCATTCATCAAGATGAATATGGATAAACGAAAAATCTCTAAAATAATGACACGGTTGGTATATTATCAACCATTCTACTTAAATCAAATATATTTTTATTTTTATTCATATCTATATTTTTGAATACTACAAATACTGATGCATACAATGGCGTATCTTAATAATTTAAACACTAAAAATGAACTATTCTTTACCTCGATGATTAATAATCACTATTCGTTTATTTATTTGCATGTGATAATCGGATAGTATAATGCACTTGATAGATTATACTTTATATGATATGTATACTGTAAATCTCTGAACAAAATATAATTGAATGACAAACGATTTCATAACAATTAATATAGATTAATGCATTTTCAAACATCTGCTATAAACTTGTTTGACTACGGTATGGCCTCCATACATTAAAAATTCATGCTAACTACATAATCAGTGACTATCAAAGCAACTGACTGACGGCATTTGGAAGCATTGAAGTATAACAGAGAGGTTAATTTGTGTTTTGTATTTTCAAACGAGCATACGATAGTATTGTCAGAAAAAAATTATGGTGAACACTGGAAAATTTTTGATATGGCAATAAAATCGTTTCAATTGATTCAATAATGTTAAAAAAGTTATTATTTAATAGTAAAATAGTATTTGATTGAACTTTTATCTAAACAGGGAATGTGTGTATGATATAACGTGGATGACATAATATAATGCATATATAATGTATATAACAAGTGTAAGCTGTAAAGAATATTGGAATTGTAGAAATTTCTAATCAGTTTATGGCGTAGACAACAAAAAATTAGAAACTAATTCACTAAACCATATGTATGAAATGCACTGTTAGAGTAATTAAATATAACTATAATAGAAGGGAAAAAATCATAAATTTACAATTTTATCAAGACAAAATATATGTATAGACTTGTAATGATCACCTAATGATTATACACATTTTATCCGAATGGCCGGAAGTACGAACTACAACAACAAAGGTACAACCCACTATATCTCACCATTTATCTGAGAATCTAAACTCATAATGTACTTAGATTCTTAAACAATTCCAAATTACATAAAAAAAAATCTAGTACTCTATCTAAATATCTATGTACTGTATTTTTGTTTTTTTTTTTTTATAAAAATAAAAATTCTTGTAGCCAACGGCTCTATTCGCCGAGGCAGTTATTATCAAAAAAAAAAAATATATATATATATATCTTATAAGCCGTAGTTTTTAATTTTTTTTCCTTTTTTTCGTTAAGTATAATAGTCTACTACAAATATAAAATACATAAAATATTATCACATTAAATGAACACAAAATATATAATATTATCATTAACCATGCACTTCGACTGTGTAGAACGTTGACAGTGGTTTAAAAAAAATGGTACCATAAAAGTTAAACATTCGAGATTTTAAGTGAAAACAAGATTAAAACCGAAAAAGAAGATATTATAACATAAACTTTTATAGGACGATCATCTTGTAATATATTTGTTTATTTATTAATTTTTTTTTTTTTGTCGTTTCGGAAATCATAATCACTATACCAAGAGAATATATAAATGAAAACGATTATTAAAAAAAAAAAAAATACTTTTGCCCGGGTGGAAGAAAAAAAGTTACCATAACGATACATCAATAACAATGACACATCGGAACAGAAGTTACATCATCGCGTTCGATCCGACTTTGTTGTTTCGTTCATTCTTCTTCTTCTGCTCTACATGTTACCTCTATACGTGATCCGTGTGTTAACGCGTCTACGCGATTCGTGTTAATCGCATGCACGTGCTAGTCTTACTTTGTAAGGGGCGAAGAAAAAAATAAAAATAAACCAACACGTCAGTCATGGTTACACGTTCGTTTAGTTCGAATACGTATTCCCCGTCCGTCCGTCCCTGTTGAACTTTGCGCCTTCCGACCGGGAGAAAATTAAGACGCAAACGCGCACCAATTGACGCACGCGAGCGGTGCAGTGACGACCGGATGCCCCCGCGGCGCGAAAAGGAAGAAGTAAAAAAAAAAAAATAATGATAATAATAAATGAACTTAAAACGTCCGTACGTTCCGTGCGCTCGGGAAGTACGCCTATTTGTATTCCCCCCCCCCCCCGACGACGTCTCGTACGATCAATTCGTAAACGTTCGCGCGCGAAGACGACCAACGGACAAAAGACGATGGGATGCGGTGGGGTAAAAATTACGGACAAATAGGACACGCATTGTAACGCGATCCCTTCCGCGCCACCGGTTTAATAGGCGATAATCAACCCGCGGACGATATCGGGACGCGACGACGAAACCGTTCGCTGGTCGCAGTCTCTCCGGTCGATCTCCTAGCCGCAGTCGCCGTCCGCTGGCCGCGCGTCGCCCGTGCAAAGGTAAACGCGCCATCCCACACCCCCTACCCCTGGGGGAAAACAGGGCCTCGAAGTTTTCGAGATTTTTCAGCTTCGCTCCCGCGTGACGTTCGGCCGAAAACGTCCGAAAACCGACGCGAAATTCCGCCGGGACCGTTTGCGCGCACGACAGTTCCCGTCACTCCGGCGATCGATTTTAGATTTCGTCGAGCGCTTTTTCCAAAAGTTTTAACGCTATGTCGTTTGCCCACCCGATCGAACGCGTCGATATCCGCGATCGTACGTTTTCGACACGTTTTTTATTCTCCCTCCCTCACGCGTCCGACGATATCCGATCGGACGCGTGCCGAAACGTTTTGTCAAAGTATTTGTCTTTTTCTCCCTTCCCGACCGCGGATTATTTTATTCGTTCGTTTCGCTCGAAAATCAAAACCGTAATGCTACACATCCACCACGAACCCGACATATTGTTATTATTATTATTATTATTTAGGAAATTCTTGTATGGTAAACGTGGAGAGTCCAATATTTTGAGAGTTCAATTCATAAAACATACAAGAAATAATTAAATAATAAACACTTTTTCTCGTGGATATTCTTAAAAACATAACAATTTTAATCGTTAAATGCATAAAGGATTTATCGAAAATCACTAAATGTTTTGAACAATATCAATGTAAGTTAAATGTAAAATTAAAGTGCGTTTCTACGCACTATTCTATAATGAGCCGGTCGTGAATATTTGCAAATGTTCCAGGAAAGAACTTTTACTTTTGTACTCGACATTGTATTAACATTAATATGTATATATTGTTTGAAATATTTAATGGTTTTTAATAATTTTGTTGTACCTGCATTCAATCATGATTTGTTACTGTACAATAAATTATAAGAACATTAGTTTTTATCGCAAATACACTGATGCCAATTTATTATTATATTTTCCATTTAACGGATGCATTCGAAACGATTTGCCTTCACGTTTTCTATGTCTTTGTTTCAGCTCTACGGACCACCTTCGGCATTTGAGACTGTGTGCTGGATTGTCGGGAGGTTATGGAAACCGGTATACGATTCGCCTGGGCCTGGGCTCCTATTTTCCGATCGCATTAAATCTGCAAGCCCGTCGTCGATCGCGCTACTTCGATAGTTCTTCCGGCCGAGTCTTTAAATCCGTCTCGCGCCGCATCGCCTCAGACGTCTTTCGCACGCTATCTTGCGCAGTGTTACTGACGGAAACATAACCCAGGTACTAATATATTGAACACAAGCGCCTTCGCTAATACACCGCCCTAACTACAATATTTGCTATCGAAAAAAAATTATTTCGGTTCAAGATAAAATATGCCTCTTCTTGAATTTCGCTATCAGGCCCAAATCAGAAACCGGGTCTACCAATACTCTATACGTAGAACACAACGTCGAGACTGTAATATTATAATTAACGTCAGTGGTACATAGATTTTTATTTCGGAGGGGGCCGATTATGTATTTGATTTTTGGGGAGAAGGGAGGAAGCACACTATTACGACAAAAATTACTTTAACACTATAAGACTTCTCGACTGTCTTTACACCATTAGAGAAATAAGAAACTCAATTTTTTTAATATTTTAAAAGTATAAAAACTACATAGTTATAAACAATTTTTTTATTAGATTCACTCAAAATTCACCACATATTTTCTTAAAATAATAAACATATTTTATAAATATAAAATATTAAATTATCACATAAGCAACATTCTCAATGTCGCGAAAAATTTTCGGAAACCCCCAGTTATTTTTAACATGGATATGTTTAAATATTGTGTTCCCTCAAAATCATATAGGGTCCTCTAAATTACTAATATGTGCAGAATTTTGGGTGCTACAACTTACACAATTTCTTTTGGAATGAAAATCTGTTAATGATAGCAATTGCAATCAAAAGTGTATCCTCTGTAATCGGATCATTTTAGGCCCTGAACAGGCACACAGATTAGATTCGTGAAATCTTTGTAGATTTCAGCATGAGTTTTGCACATATATGCGCGTGTACACGTTGATCTAACTTCGAGTGACACTTCTATAAGGGATCGGAGAATGCAAATAAACATTCTCTTAGAGGACTTGTACTATTTACATATTTATTTTAACATACCACGCGAATAGCAGTGTAAGAAACAAACACGATTTGTAATAACTTATTACAAAACGTGATTGTTACGAATATACTACGAGTAGCTACGTTATTTTATTTTGCATATACAATAAATGCATGTTTTGAGTGTTTTTTTTTTTTTTGTACATATTTTATATTTTTTTTTAATAATCTTATAATTTTACATAGCAAATTTAATGAATTTTTTATTTTGTTTACTCTTTTTTTTTGACGTGTATCTATGACAACTTACCAATTCATCAATGTAATATTATAAATTTATTACTAAGATTATGAATTTGTAATTAAATTTTTTTTTCACGGAGCATTCAAAACATTTCTTTTAAACAGACTATTTATTTTTTTTTTTTTGTTAATATAATGAATCAAATAAAACATGCTATAATTCTATTCAGCAGAAACGAATAATAATAAAAACGAGCAATACATTTTTTTTTTTTTTTTTTTTTTTTTTATTGAAAACAAATTAGTTTTGAAATTGTATTAATCTTCAATCTCTTTTTCAAGTATCCGTATTTTTTAGTAAAAACGGTGGAAAGCGTTAATAGTATTCACTACAGTGTAATGGAGATTCAGCAAAAAAAAAGTTTCTTGATTTTTACAATATCGAATAATCTCAGAACTTTCAATCCACAACTTTTAGACCTAAACATTCAAAGAACAGTTTACAAGAGAATTGTATACATAATAAAAGATAATAATTGACTTGGAGTGAGTAAAAATTGCATTTCAAATAGAAAGAGAATATAATTTATCTCAGACTTTTGATGCATGATCAGCATTGATCCGTTAGCACAAAAATAACTTCAAATTCACCTTCAAAAGTTTATAACAATACAATTTCAACTTGAACGGAACACGTTTCTCAAACAAATTATTTTAAGTAAATCACGTTTTAACACACAAAATTAAACACTCGTTTAATCGTTCACACATTGTTGGAAACTTTGAACATTGATAAATAAAAAGAAGCGAAATCTCAAATCTCTAACGTATAACTTTAAATGCGTGTGTTCACGAACAAATGTCTTGTTAAAGACGCGATTGAAACGAGATAATAGAGATAAATATAATGAATGTGATTTCTATTATTATTAATATTGATTTTATTATAATTATTGTAACTACAATTACCTATTTACTTATATTTTATTATTTATCGTATTTGTCATTATTTATCAGCTGTATCAATTTTATCTATACTTTTCTCGTGTAATCTAAAAATCAGTCGAAAATTTCATATGCAAACAAATAATATAACGAAGATTAATATTATTTCCGAGTTTTTCGTAAATAGATTGAAAACTGCGCGGAGGAAAATGTATTCAAAGTATCTATAAGGATAGCCGTAGCGTATGGGTACCCTTGTGTCAATTTTTCTATTCACTTGTTTTTTTTCCGTCCGTTTATCGCACCGATGATAAATCACCATTACGTGTATGGCCTGCGTCGAAAGCCCGACGACGGGTCTCATTCTTGACGAATCGTCGTTCTACATAATACATTTCAATGCGTACACGTATACACTCAAGTGAATACGCGTTGCACCGTCAACAGGAACACAATGTGATAAATGTACCAACACGGTTTAATTGAGTTTGAGTGAATCATGCAATGTCAATGTCCACAAAGTCGATGCATTATGAAACGGCTCACCGTTACGGTTATATCAATACTACCATTAACGCGTCTGTAGTCGCATGCACAGGGTTTTTTTTTTTATCATTTCAAAAGCGTTCCTAAAAATTATCATCTAAACTTAGGATTTGAATTTTTAACATTAGTATATCGGATAACATTGGTAAACTAGTGAAGTTACTAAGTATAACTTATAAGTTAAATCTGTAATCTAATGTGCTACACCATATTAAAATACAGAATACAATAGCAAATTTTTACAATGTACAATTAGTTACACAATATTTATAAAATAAATTATACAATTATTAGTGAAGTTAACTAGTTTAAAACGTGATGAAGTTGACCGCGTTGGAGTTAAGTCTGCGGACGAGCATTCAGCCCAAAATGTTGTGTATCGCTTGCTTGGTGTCGATGATTAAAGAAACTTACCGATAGGTCATTAGCGACTACTGTTTACGGATAAGTTAGTAATTTATAAACTTAAATTTACTCCAAAAAGTTTTATAACTTGATTTTGCGAGAAAAAAAATTATTTTTGTGATGAATTTTAAAAATTTAAAAATAAATAGTTCATGTATATGTCACTCGAGTGGAAAATGGTTGTTGACCTAAATTTTAAACTTTATGAGAGTTTCAAAATTAAGTAAAACTCATTCCATTATCTATTCACTAATTTTCTCTTTGTACGCTTTTACGTCATATTGAAGTTTTGACCAATTATTTTAAGTAATATGTATATATTATAGACATACGAATATTCTAAACTAATTTGCATCTAAAAGTTGATCGAATCAAAAGCATGTTATACTACATAATTTATCATGCGTGAAAATATAATCTCATTATTTGATCAAATATAGTAACAATTATTTTTGACGTTAAATTAATTTTTCTTAATACATGCACTGTAGGTCTGCACATTATGTATGCAATAATTGTACATTTTTACACAAAAAAATTTTAAACATCAAGTAAAAAAAAATTACTGTTTTTTTCTTATTTATGGCAATTAAAAAGTTATTACAACATGATTGGGTGCAACCCAACAAACAAACAAACAACTAAAAAAGCGATTATCATGTTTAAAAACTTATTCACAGGAAAAAAAAACCTATCAAATTATTGTGCTATAAAATACAATTATAGAACTCAGAATATATAATTTACAAGTCATAGAAAATATGTCTTCCAGTAAAATCTATAATTTTTATTAAATTATTTATATAACATTGAATAGGCATAGAATCATAAAATATATAAAAAATATAAAATAAATATGTAATACACAATGAAATAATAAAAAATAAAATAAAAATTAGTAAAAGATTTACACTCATAAATTAATAGCTTATTTATATACATAACATATCTTATATGTCACAATTTTAAATTGATATACGTGATTGATTTATAGATTTTATACCATAGTAGAAGTTAAATTTTAAATGAAATAGGTACACAAGTTTAAAATGTGTTCTATAATTATATTCTTATTAATGTGTTTTTAAGTTGCATACCTACTTATGTTTAGATAAATTAATAATTTAGCAGACACAATTTATAATAAGTTAATCGTTAGAGAAATCCAAATAAGCCCAAGCTAATGTTTCAGTGAATTTATAAAAAATAAATATAACCAGTTATTGTATTTTTTTATTTTTCGATACGATTAAAAAATAAATTAAACTTTAATCCCGTTAAAAACTGTTCAACTAAAAATATGTGTCGATTGTGCGAACTAGAACAAAATATTTCCCCTTTTTTCTGATACCGAGCCTTATATCAATAACATATAATCTCCGACCAGAGTTATAGGTCGGCGAAAAACTGTTGACGATTAACCGCTAATTCCGAAACAACGCACACGCGATTACTACGCAACACGAATTACCTCCACACATACACACACTGCCATAATAATATAATATTAAAGGATGAGAGTGGGATGGGTTTTTGGCACGGGGAGCAAATGTCCACACGGTATGGTTTAGCGACTCTTCTCGCATACATTTTTTCGTACCAACATGTGATTGTCCTTTTTTTGCAGCCGAGCCTGTCGAACGAAGGGTGACGTATCCCGCTACCACGCACCGAAGCCACGATCCACGAGCGAAAAATGCGGTGGACAATCGCAGGTAAAACATTTCGAATAAATCAACATCGCTTTGGGCGCGCGAACGACGTGTGCACGCACTTTACTCGGACGTTTATCACTCGCGATGTCTGAGCAATGCCGTAGCAACCAAACATTGCGCCCGGGGCGAAACTTCAAAACGCGCCCCCTTACGTATTTTTAACTTACAAAATATTACGCTTATTAGATATTGTTTTCAATGATTGCTTTAATCAATAAGAAGGATGTTAAAGATTTTGTAAACGAAATATACGACATTGACCGTTGTAATTTTTAACGTTAAACGCAAGATTTTTCGTTTTTGCGCTCTCCCAGTAATTGCGCCCGGGGCGTAGGCATCTGCCGCCTCCCCCTTGCTGCGGCCCTGTGTCCGAGTCGTCGGTCCGGTTCGTTCGGATCGCCGACGAGATCTAGTCGGGAAAATCGCGTAACACGTGTTTAGACGCGTATAGTGTTGTATAACAATGTGTACGACACGACGCGCGACGGTGTGAACGAGCGGTGCACATGTATTCGAACAAACGTTTTCCTGGCTCGAGGTTTGTGCGAGGGACACGAGTGGGAAAGCGCAAGGGATAAGGTTTGCGGGGCGTGTGCGCGTCACTTGGACTCCGTTCAAAAACCACCTCCGGGCTTGCGTTTATTTTTAGGCGTCGGTAGGCGACGTGACGCGTCCGAACGATACAGTTCGCGCGATACGGTTACACGCAGAAGATACGTGATCGTTATTGCACGCGAACGACAGTAAACATTTCGCGGTGACGTGTGCATGTGCGTGCGCCCGTCCGTCTGTCCGTCCGTCTGTTTCCATCAGCGCTGGTGGGCAAGTTAATGATTTTGTTTTTCTCTCTCTATCTCTTTCTAACTCAGTCGTAAGTCGGTGTGCATGATTAAGAAAAAGTTATAAGTTAAAAGCTGATTTGACTTCCGTGTCGACTCGGTCGAACTAAATGTTAATACACAACCATTAACTTTTTATGAAGTTCAAACGAAGTTCATTATACTTTTCATTTGTTCTCTTATTTTTCTGTCTATCACACTAACCTACATTAATTTTTACCAACCCAAAACCATAGCGATTAGACGGCGTTTCTGTGGACGATTTCTGTTTTTCGTTATTAATATAATTGTTATTATTTCCAATAAATTATTTTCAACATCAAACAATTCATGTCAAACATTAACCGAAATATTTGACCACACGAGAACGAGATCGATTAAAATGTACGCAGACAAAATAAAACGAAATAAAACAGAATAAAGTAACCGAACTTCTCAAAATTAAAATCGTATCCGTTGATTTCGCGTCGATTAAGAAACAATTGATACAAACCGTAGTAGTTAAATGAATTGTGAGACCCAAGACTATCTAGTTAAGTTAAAACCGAATTAAACCGTTAATGTGTAAAATTAATGAATCGTGTACGCACACCAGAAGTTTGGAACGAAAAACAATAAATAAATAAACGTGTAATCCGGACGACAGATGTTAAGTAGTGTTGATAACGCTGACCAGTATGTGCGAAACAAATCCGTTTGTTATTGCACGCACGTCGCTCTTGTGATCTCGTTAGTATACATCCGTGCGTATATTATCGTAAATAACATAGTGTGATAGTAGTGATAGCGCAACAGTAGCCCGAAGACGGTTCACGGGATAATACAAAAACTCACCTCTCGCTCTCGTCGACCCCACGATTTCGTCTTCATCTGCCGGTTGATTTCGCGATACATCTAGTGCAAACTCTCGGTTTTGTTAACCTAATCATTTTCGAGTAACGCTATCGAATGGCAACAAAATAGGATTCACGCGGATTATAAACTCTGCAGCAGTCGTTTTTCTAGTTCTCTCGTATACACGTATAGTTTCGAAGAAAAAAAAGAAACGAGTAAACATGGGCACAACTCGACAACAACTTTCCGGTAAACTGATCAAAAAAACATGACTGTTGTAAATATCACGTCCGTAATAACAATAAACGTTTCATAATTATCTGAAATACAATAATGCATCACTATATTCTGCGTTGTCACGACGAAATTTCCGATACACCGCTATGTTCACGTGTTACAGACTTTTAAAAGTATTACCTAACACGCTGTAGGTTAATAAAATAAGTGAGTCACGATCATACATTTCAATTTATTTATAAATTAATCGTTTTCAAAATAGCTATACAACCGTCAAATAAATCGTAGTTATTATTATATGATATTTATGAATAATGTACGAGTATTCACTAATTTCAACATATTATATTAACTGACGATCAATTTCTGTTTTTTTTTTTTTTCATAAAGTACCCTAATCATTTTTTCAGTTAAATTTACATTTTTAATACACATTTTAAAAACTTTTTAGGTCTGTAAAATTTGGTAATGGCCGTTTTATTAGATTTACTTTTCTGAAAGTATTTATGATTCAACTTCATAATTTAATAACAATCTTTTCAGAATATTTTTTTCACGATTTTTTTAATTTTCAGTAAAATTTGTTAAGTTAATAATAAAAAAAAATAAAAAAAAATATTAGCGTAAATTCGTGTAATAAGTACAGAATAGGTTCAGATTATGGAGATGGTAATACTTTGTATTTTTTTTCTTGAACTATGTGAAATTGAAATTAAATTAAATGTAATTTAATGTTATTTTTAATTATTCTAGATTTTCAACTTTGATCATGTATTCATTAGCTTAAAATTGTATAGTCCAATAATTAAAATTAAGGATACAATTATAATAAATAAATTGACACAAATCACGTAGATATTTTGTACAATTTAAGTTTTACTGTTTATTATTTATTTATTATTATTTCAACAGAATAATGGGCCCCCTAAGCATGCTCGTGCGTGGGCTCATGAATACTTAACTAACAAATAATTTTCTCTTAATATTATTTTGACGATTTTTATTTACACAAAAATTTATTAATATTAATTATTAAAAAATATGACAAACAAGCAATTCAAATTTTTGTTAAATATTGTTATTTTTTAAGTGTAAGCGAAGTTTTGTTCATTTACACATTTATTTATATGTAGTATGAAATAATATTGGGGAAGTCTGTACTTTTTAAATAGTAAGGTAATATGAATGTTTTTTACAGTGTTTAAGAATAAGTTATTGTCTAGTAACCAATATTGTATTATTTGTATATCTCTTTGGATTTTTTTAAATACTTCGGTCCAATAACCACCTGTAATAACTAATACAGTATCGTCTGCAAAATAGGTCAGATTTCCACTTAAAGGTAGAAAATTTAAATCATTAAGTTGGATCTTAAATAAGACTGGAGACAGTAACGTACCCTATAGGACACTGAATTTTATTAGTTCTTCAGAACTTAAAGTATTTTTATATTTTACGTATTGAAAACAAAAACAAACATGATCTTATAAGTTTTTATGCTATTTCATATACTCCTATATTTTTTAGTTTGTATAATAATATAATATTTCATGGTTCGCTGTATCAAAGGCTTTGGCAAGTTCTAATTATTTAGTAGCACATTTTTTTATCATTATCTACTTTATATACTGATTCAGTAATATTAGCTACCTATTGCTTGATATGTACCTTTTTTTGATATAAACCGTATTGTAATGGTGATAATAGGTTGTACGTTTCGAAATATTATTGTAGATCATTTTGAAAAATTTTTTCAAAAATTATTAGGATATTTGATATAATAGATATAAAGCACTATTTTGGAACATTTTTTTTTGTCCTTTTTTTTGAGAGTTGGTGTGACTATTGATATTTTAAATGTATCGGAAAAAAACATTATATAAAATAGATAAATTTAAAATATATGATAGTGATATTAATAAATTGTGTACATTATTTTCGATTGTTAGATGAAATATTATTAAAACCTAATGCAGAATAAATTTTTTAATGATTAAACTGTTTTTAATGTAAATTCAATACTTATAAACTTAAAATTATTAAGGTTATGTGTTGTATATATATATTTGTTGAGTTATTTTTACAAATTTGGTTAGTGATAATATGTTTTATTTTAAAAGATTCTGAGAGAATATATTTTGATTAAATTTGAAAATAGTTCTATGGTTAGATTACTTTTTTCGGTTATTTGAGAGATTAATAATTTTTAGAGATAATTTAATAATGATCTGTGATTTTTGTGTAAACAACATAAGTAATGGTATTTTTTTAAGATATTATTTTAATAAACATATGATCTATACAAGACCCACCATTTTTATTTGATCTTGTATTGGAATTGATTGTATTTATAAAGCCATAATTATATAAAAGTTTATGATAATAATTTATATTTTCATTATTTGTTTAATAATTATATCGATATTTACATCACCGAGGATCGTAGAGTAAAAACTATTTTGAGTCTTTGTTTATTTTTAGAATATTTTGTTAAATTTTGATTAAATAATTACCCATTTATATATGCTTATAATACAAATTTACCTGTCTCTAATAAAAAAATTATTTCTAAGCAAAAAATAATTTAATTTGGGTTTAATTTGAAATCTGTTATTTTAACGGTTTTAATTGAGTTTGAGATACATATAATTTTCGATTACATATAAAATTCCATCGTTTTTAATTTTAAATTTAATTTAAGATCAGTCGAGACAAGTGGTTGTTGCAGCGATTGGCCTAAATAGCTTGTAAAACGTCATAGAGAGATAGATTCCAAAGTTTTAATTTTTTGATGTTTTTGTATAATGTGTAGTGTTCTAGTATGCAAAATCTATTTGGGTCAGTATCCTGTAATCCTAGCTTCAGTTAAAATTATAATATAAATTTATATTTTCACATTATCAATATGAATACACAGTTCATCAAAGTTTTTAGGTATGTTTCGAATATTTAATAATAGAATATTCATTGGATATGTATTTTTTAATTTCTTATAAGAATGTAACCAAGTTTCATTCGATGTTTTTAATTCATTGGAATTTATATTACAAATTGAAGAAATATTATTGTCGAATTGTATTTCTTATTGAG